AGTTACATGATGTTACAGTACAAGTTCTCATATGTCCTGAGTCTTAATTGACCTTGGAAGGCTAGGGCAGTTTCTTCCCATTTTACAGCATCGTACCTTTTGGATCTCTTAGGGAGACAGTACAATGTTTACACATGCACATCTGGTTTATTTCACATATGAGTATGGTCTTGCGCTGCATCCATTTACCCATAAATATCTCCAGTTTATCTTTCATTATGGCTGTGTAGTACTTCATTGTATTAAAAGACCACATCTTTTGTATCCATTCATTGATTGATGGGCATTTGGGTTGTTTCCAAGATTGAGATATTATAAATTATGTTGCTATAAAAATGTACATCCCAGGCTGGGGAGATGGCTCAGTGGAATAAACGCTTCCCTGGCAAGCGCAAGGCCCTGAGTTCAATCCCCGGTTCCACACACACAAAAAAGCGCATCCCTAGTTTTTGAAACAATTTCCTTTTTAAAAAAATTTGAGATCATGTCTCGTTAAGTCACCGAGTTTCTCAGACTGGGCCCAAATTTGTGATTTTCCTGCCTCAGCCTCCCAGAGCTCTGGGATTCCAGTGTACAGTGTCACACCTGATTATTTCTGAGTTCTTTCTGGGCTTGCACACTAACTCTGAATCCTCACTGGAGCCTTGGGGTTATGTCTTAGGAAGGCATCCCTATTTCACAGATGGGGAAACCAAGCCAAGAGCAGGTATATGAGAACATTAATTCTGGGCTGCTGTGTCTGCCCTGTACTGCTATGGGACACTGACCTGTGCTTGCCTTATTCCTCTAGGGACAGGGGCAGACCCGTCTGTCAGTGCCAAGAGCAACCATTGCCTGGACGCTGCCAAGGCCTGCAACCTGAATGACAATTGCAAGAAGCTGCGCTCCTCCTACATCTCCATCTGCAACCGTGAGATCTCGTCCACTGAGCGCTGCAACCGCCGCAAGTGCCACAAGGCCCTGCGCCAGTTCTTTGACCGTGTGCCCAGCGAGTACACCTACCGCATGCTCTTCTGCTCCTGCCAAGACCAGGCATGTGCTGAGCGCCGCCGGCAGACGATCCTGCCCAGCTGTTCCTATGAGGACAAGGAGAAGCCCAACTGCCTGGAGCTCCGAACCCTGTGCCGGACAGATCACTTATGCCGGTGAGAGCATGCAGCTTGGGGCGTTGGCTTTGGGGTGCTTCCAGGGGCTGGTGCTGTGCTTTCTCCACATCCACTGGGAGTCCCATTGGGTTATAAGTCTAAGTCCAGCAGAAGGTGTCACTTGAATATGTGAAAAATCAGTTGTCCTTTTTTTTCATCCATCCATCCATCCACCCATCCACCCACCCACCTGTCCACCCACCCATCCACCTATCCACCCATCTAGCCACCAATCCATCCACCTACCCACCCACCCACCCATCCATGCTTCCATCCATCCATTCACCCACCCACCCATTCACCAACCCACCCACCACTCATTTTCTGATTTGCTCATTCATTCAACTTGAGTTTATTTTTTTGTCTACTCTTTGCCCAGCCTCATGTCAAGGATTATTAGGGAAGCCAGTAAGCAATACAAGGGCCTTATAATTTAAAATTATAGGCTCCTGGAGTCTTGAAAGAAGAAATGACCATCACAGAATTTGATCCCACTTCTAAAGGAAGCCTCAGCTTCATGACCCAGCAGAAGAAGTTGTTCTCATAGACTGAAGAGCAGCTTATTGTACACAGAGCTGAACAGGCTCACACTTGGGGAAAGAATGTGTTCTAGAGCCTGATGGTGCTGGGTTTGAATTCTGACTACCAGTTATTAACTGTGTGACCTTGAGCCAGTTTTAAAGATTTCCTGAGCCTCCATCTCTTTACCTATGAAGCAGGAATAACAATACCCACATCACAGGGTTATTTTGAGCATTAGATTGCACATGTCCACTACTTACTACAGAGCCTAGTGCATAGCAAATGCTTACTAAATATAGCATAGTTATTAGGAAGTAGGATTTTTTTTGTTACAGTGAATTGAAGTTTGGTTTCTTAAATGTGTTTTACCTGTTATTAAGTACTTATTAGCTCCTCTTGCTTGTAGCACTTGGTTTGAAGGCCTGGACATACAGAGGTGACTTTGATGCTCTCCAGAGGATGTGTACTTCAGCAGGGGAATAGGTCAAGTGGTTCCAATTCAGTAGGATGAAGCTGGAAGCTGCCAGGGAGGGAGCATGGGGGGGGGGCGTGTGCCTCAGTGCAGGTCCACAGGAGCGCATTTCCTGAGCAAAGCCTTGGGAAATGCGAAGAAGAAGGCGGCCTATGAAGAAGATGGCCAGAAAAGGCCATTGGAAAAGAGAGAGACAGAGGGAAGGAGGGGGGAGAAAGGATGGAGAGGGAGGGGAGAGGGAGGAAACCGCATGGGGTGGGCCATGGTGGGTAGGCCGTTGGAGAAACAGGAATTACAATAGTTACTTGGAGGTGTTTAGAGATTGTCTGATATGTTCCAAATACTTTTTTAAAAAAGCTTCATGTCTGAATCCTGCAACAAGGCTAAAAACTCAGTTCCACTTCATCTTTCTTTGTCACTTGAGGGTATAGAGATAGTAACTGGCCTGAGGTCACACAGTACACAACATTTTCAGAACCCGGAGACACATGATACGCCTTTCTTGCCACTATGGCATACTGCTCTGGGATGAAGCAGTAGCTGTGGGGATGGAAACTGTGAATTGTTTCAAAGGAGAGTGGTCACAGACTTGAATGTGGCAGGACTGAGTGACGACTGGTTGAGATTCTCTGGAGGCAAGAACTGTTTCTGTTTTACAAACTCCACCACGTGGAGCCTGGCACATGGCGAGCACCCCATAAGTATTACTTGAATAGATAAGTAGATGGCATCTGTGTCTGCCATGTTTCCTAACTGAATAACTGTGGGGTGGTGGAATAATTGGGCGAGGGTGGCGTTGGACACACAGTGTTTGAGAAGTCTCTGGGGAAACCATTGTCATTCCCATGGCAACATCTGGGAGGCATTTGGATGAATGGGCCCGGAGCTCAGTAATGAGGCTAGGTTTAGAAATTCTTGGGCTCCACATTGGTGATTAAAACCACAGCAGTGGATGATGTTGTGGGGAGGTTTGGTGGAGATGCCCACAGATTTGGGCACCCTTGGAGTTCAGGTGGTAAATAAAGCCATCGGTGTGGGTAGTGAGAGCCCAGCTGTGCTGGAAACATGGGGGAATGGGGAGCAAAGGTGGAGGAGGTGCGGTGTGAGGCAGGCAGGTTGGGAAGATCAGAGGACAGTGGGTGGGGGTTGGGGAAAGGGTGGCGAAGCTGGGGTTTTGCAGAATGCCTGTGTGTGTGTGCTCCAAGCTGATCGCTGTAGGCACACTTCTCGCACCGAGGCAGAAGTGGGGGCATTGGATATAAACTGCCTTGTGCAGGAGGAAGCAGGGGTGGGGCTAGGGCTCCGAGGGATGTTGGTTGGGAGTGGCTTCCTTCTGTGCTGGGAGAGGTGGGCCCAGTGTAGATGCAAGGTGAAGGGCTGCTTCGTTTCGTTTGGAACAGGAGCCCTGCTGGAGTTCAGAAGAGGGACTGAGGGCTTCGGGAAAGACCTGAGAAGGAGGTGGGCTTTTCCCTTCTGTATTGCTTTAAAAAGTACATGTTCTATACAAATAGATTGAGGCAGTTGGAAACAAGCCTATGTTTACAACAGTAGGAGCGTTCTCAGGAAAAACCAAGAGCCCTAGACAGGAGGAGTGAACGCATGCACACCTCTGCTCTGTTATCCAGTGGAGTGCTGAACTCGAGTTTTCAGCTTCCTGGTCGCCGGGATCAAGGAGAAGCTGGATAGGCCACATAGTCCCCGAAACACACTAGAAGGAGTGTGCGAATTCTTAAACCCAGACATATTTTCTCTCTGCACTAAATGCTAAAATGAATTTGCCATGCTGCATGTACGCAGTGATATGGAGCAGCAACAGTTGAGGAGCTGGGCCTTGAGGAGCTGGGGGGCCCACACACAAGTTTGTGCACTTGTGGGGCCCAGTGCACCCAGAAAGCCTGAAGGCTGGGGCGGAGAGGTGGTGCACACCTGTGATTGAAGCACTCTGCGAGGTTGAGCCAGCAGGATCGCAGGTTTGAACCCACCCTGGGCAACTTAACATGACCCTGTCTCAAAATAAAAAATTTAAAAAAAGATTGGAGTGTAGCTCAGTGAAAAAATCCTAGGTTCTCTCTTCCATACTGAAAAAAATCAAACAAACCCAGAAGCCATTAGGGGTCCTGCGATGGGGGTCTGGGGTTGTGCCACTGAGATGTTAGAATTGAGTCTCATGTAGAGGTGGCAGGAGCCCAGCACGAGCTTACTGGTATTGTTTTGAGGAAGGGTGGGTAGTGGAGTATGGGCTCCTTCCTGATGGGCTTTTGGCCTGTGTGAAGCTGGAGAATTAGAGGCAGAGAAAATTTGGCGGCTTGGTCCATTTTTTATTTTTCTAGAGATGAAGAATCCAGGAACGTAGGCATAAATATCAGATCGTAGAACCAGAAGGACAAAGTACTAGGAGCACGGAGACTGAGGAGCCCTGGCCGTGAAGAGTATATAGTTCCGAGAGGAGCTGAAGCAAGTGGGGAAGTGCCTTGCACTGGGGGTGTGGATTTCAGCACAGCAACCCCAAGGCCATGGAGTGCACAGTGTCTAGATCATTAAATTAGGGACAGAGCTTCCTCGGAGCAGCCTGGGGCCATGTGTAGGAGGTCCATACTGCATCAGGATGTGGCAGGTAAGCTCGTGTCTAGGGCCAGGACATTTGTCCAACCTTTCATTGCTCAGCTCCCACCACCCACCCACTGGCACACAAAAGTGTGGTCCTTGGTGAGGGAGGGCAGGGAGGAGGGCTGGGCCTGTGTGTAGGAGAAGCCTGGCAGGGCCTGTAGCAAAGTTGGAGTGAAGGGAGTGCCCTGCAGGGGTTTTGCTTATCCCCTAGTCTAAGGTTTGAGGGGCTCTGGGAGATGTGCTGGGGAGAAAACAGGGACCAAAATGGAGTGATGGTGGAAGGAGGAGTGGTTGTAGCACCCCACACCAGAGCCATGCCCCTGGTCTCCTGAGTGCCCCCTGCATGGACAGCTTCACCCCCAGTGCCCTCTGTTTCTTCACTGATCCCACAAGAGCACTTCTGGGCCTGTGGACTTGAGTCTGTTCAGGTGGTTTTGTAGCCTGCCTTCTGCCATTGGGTTATATTCCTACAGAGATGTGCTTTTGGCAGAAGAGGAGATGCCACAAATGGCCCTAGAGGTGCCCACCTGTAGGACCAGGAGGTGACAGGTGGTTCAATAAGGACATGTAGAGGGTAGGAAACTAGGCAGGGCTCTGCACTGTGCCCTTGAAGAGACTTTGTGCTCTTTCTTTGCTGGGCGTGTTCTCCAGGTCCTGCCCTCCAGCATGGGCACCAGCGATGAGAGTCTTGTGACCACGGAGAAGCCCAGTGCTGCAGTGTTCGGAGCAGGATCTGGAGACTCCTGTCGCTTGGAAACTTTAATGAATGAAGCTGGCTTGATGAGGTCATGGGAAAGCATCTCTGGATGATGATTCTTGGGAAAGGAGGTCCCTGACAGGAAGTCCCCATGCTCCAGGGCTGTCGCACTTAGTCTTGACTCTGCTAGGCCTGGCTAGGCCTTGGCCCCGCCTTCTGTTTGGGAAGCTGTCCACTTGTGCTGGACAACTTGGCACCCTGTCCCTCTGGCACTGCATTAAAACCAGTCCATTGCATTGTTCTGAGCACACCTGGCAGCAGGCCTTGCGTGTCACTGGTGTGGTATTCACCTGTGAGATATGTCACAGACTCTGCAGTGCTGTCTTAGTAAATGTCACTGCTGCAAAGCGTTGGAGGTTTTCCTTGACCTTGTTAGAAGCCTTGATTAAACAAGGATATCTGCTTGTTGGGCCTCAGGGTTATTGGAAGCACTTCTGAATTCTCCCACCACTCTTTGGACAGGGTCCACAGGGAACTTCTGGAAGATTCTCTCTTCCCACAGCTGCCTGGGAAGTAGCACCCCAGGATATCCAGTTGTGTCTCCACCTCTCTTCATACCCCTGAGCCTCAGGGCTGTTGATTTAAACTGATCAGAGATGTCAGAAAGACCAGGAGAGGCATTTCCTTTATTTTTTAATTTTT